TTTAATCATTACATGTACAGATTAGAGTGCCGTTCCCTGGGGGCTTTGTTTTATTTTGTTTGGTTGGGTTTTTTTTGTTTGTCTTTGTTGAAAAAATGTCGTCAATCGTCACATGATTTTAATTGTACTTGCCGACCAAATGATCTAGTTTTTGGGCCCCGTGCATTTTCCAGAAGCAAGGAGTGACCCCTTAAAGCTGGTCTATAAATTATTTTTCAAACCTATCTTTGCCCATGTCAATAGTCAGTAACTTATTGTCAAAAGTATTTGTTTGTTGTTGTTTTTTTGGGGGGGTCCTAGTAAAGTGCTTTACTGTAGAGTGTACAGTATTTGTTTAAAACTGTATCTTTATTTGTATAATGCTGTAAATTATATGAATTGTTTCTCTAAAATATGACCAATTATAATTTGATACGGTGAGGGTTTGGAATGACACTTGAAGGCATTTTACGAACACTTGATGCTTGTGCTGCTGGAAGCCACATGGAGGGGAAAAAAATCCCTACTTTCTTCAGATAAGATGGTCCCAGCGGACACTTTCCCATAAGACATGACAAAACTTGAAAATTGGTGGAGAGGGGAGTAGATTTGGATTTTTAGATGTTATTGAAGTATAAACTGGTGCCTGGAAAAATAAAACTTGAGCAGTGCTAAGAGTCAGTACTTTCAGTGTAAACCCCGCTCTACATTTTAATGCTGCTTGCCGGAAATTCATTACCGGAAGTATTTTGTGACGCGGCCGTGCCTCGTGTCACTCTGTTCTTTACAGCCAGCTCCTGTGCCTTTCACAAAAGGAAAAACAATCATCCCCTCTCTCACTGCTGGATCATTAACAGCATCAAAATATTTCTTTTATATCCTGTACATATCGCTGCCATGTATAAATGTAGCTGTATTTTCAGTGTTTGTTTGTTTTCTTTTTAAAAAAAATAAAAGTGATTGATGATCACACCTGATTTAACGTCTCTGTCTTGTGCACTTCTTGGTTTTCGTAGAAAGATGTCCGTGTGAGTTGGCTGTGTTGGAGGCAACTGAAGCACATTTTTGTTTTTTTTCCATGAGTCATCGGTGACTCACGTAACTATGTCAACAATGCAGTCTTTATGAGTTATGCCAGGTGCCAACCCTTTTTAGGCAGTTTGACCAGCTTGGCAACTTTAGCCAATTAAATTCTTACTCTGTTAAATTCTCACTTTCGGCTCAAAAAGTTTAGACGGTTCGGTAAGAATTACCTCGTTGCATCATTAGATAATCACTGCAACCAAAAGAATTGACAATAAGACATTAACTGGACACTTTATTAGATACACCTCACTAGTATCAGGTTAGATCCCCTTTTACCTTCAGCACTGTCATAAGTATTCATGACATGGATTCAGCAGGTGGTGAGCACTGTTGTCTCACAGAAAGAAGGTCCTGGATTCAAATCCACCACCTCTCTGGGGTGTTTCTGTGAGGAGCTTCCTTGTTCTCACCGCCCTTCTCCCGCACTTCAAAGACAATTTGCATTACCAAAACCAATTTGAGATGATCTGAGCTTTGCTACGTGGTGCTTTGCAGCCATCAGATGCCAATACTTATGCAGTAGCTTTTCCTTGCAAACATCAGAGAAAACTGAAATATTAGGTATGATAATTCTGACAAGAAAAGCGAGGAATAAATAAAATGTAGAATAAATTCAAACTAGTTAGATACATCTGAAAATGAACACCAGGAAAAGATGCTTATAAAGGACAACAGTGAAATGAGATAGAAAAGGCTCATAAAAATATGTCTTTAAGAAGGATTTGTAAGAATGATGTATGACAGTGAGCTCATCACCTCAATAGTGAGATTGGGTTGGCTGTAGGTCAGGAAGTGGGCTCTGTATATGTGATAGCCCGCTACTCCCGTCTGCATTTCAAAGTATGAACTCTAATCCATCTGTGTGAGTGTGTGTGTACGACGTGCTTGGGTAGAGAAATGGGTGAACGAGGCTTGTAGTAAAAACTGGATAAGCTTTGAGTGCTCAGAGTAAAGAAGCAGTCCAAAAGACAACTAATCAGCAGATCATTCAGCTCTCTGATTCCTTTCTGTTTAAAAAAGCAATCAACTGTTCAGCACCGATCATTTCTGATCTGTTGATCACATTTCTCCAGAAAAGGGTCCATGGTTGACATGAGCAGTTATTTGTGATACTGTTGCCATCCTACCAGCTTTAATAGCTCTCTGGCCGTTCTCCTCTGACCTTTGCTACTTAAAAAGGCATGCTCTCCCAGAGAGCTACCACTTACTGGACATTTCCTTTTCTTTGGATCATTCTCTGTAAACCCTAGAAATGGAAAATCCCAGCAAACTAGGAGATTCTGAAACACCAGCCTGTCTTTCTTCCCCATTCTGGTGTTCAGTTTCAACTTCAGCGGGTTGCCTTGAGCGTGTCTACGTGCAAGTTGCTGCCACATGATTGGGCGATTGTTAACAAGCAACAAGAACAGGTGTACTTAATAAAGTTTCCAGTGAGTCGTCCTTACTCTAAGAGATTTAAATGCAACATTTTCCATCTTTTACTCCCCGGGAGAAATGTTTCGTTTTATTGCTTTGAAGCTGTGATAGATGTAGGGTTGCACTTACATTTTCCATGCGACTGAATTTGAAAATCACAACAAAAATGTGGATTTTAACTTCTTTGTTTGTCTCACCTTCGGTAACAGGATGAAAAAGAATGAAAAAGGAACACATTTTGGAGAAAGAAGAGTCTTTTTTAAAATCTCTACACTATAAAATGCATAAGAGCTGCTCCCTCCTCTCTTCTCGACACACTAAGGCTGCACTCTAGTGGTCGCACACTGCAATGTGCCAATCTGGAAACAGTACAGCTATGAACCACTGTGGCAAAGCTGTGTGTAAGCTTGAAAACCTGCACAACAGCGAATCTCCAAAGAAAAACCTTTTCACTTCCAGGCATTTATTTCCAGTGACGATCGAGGTGTATATAATGCCACAACAACATCAAACGACCAACCTTGTCAGGATTTGGTTACAAATAAATTATTCACACGTTTAGTGTAATGTGATATAAATGTGTTTCCCGCCACCTTACACTTCAGACGTCAGAGCTCAAAGGAATAACACACAGCTGAATGTATATGAAAGCCTGTTTGATGGTTAATGCCACCAAAAAAGTTAAATCTGTCAGTTTTTTTCCTTTGTGCTGTGTTTCACATGCAGTTTCGTTTTATTTTTCACATCTCTCATCCATTCTGCTCCTACAGTGAAACAGTTACCTACAATATATCAAAGATTAAAAGGAAAAAGCCCTTTCTGTCTTTGGAAATTTTCAATTAAATGGACTGAGTGTATAAATGAATTTTAAACAGACTCCAAAGACTCGTACTGAGTAAGTACTGAATGAATTAAGAAGCAGTTCATAGGAAGAAATAGTGTTAAATGTATGTGTCAAACAATAATATTGAAGGAATCTAAAAATAAAATAACTATAAATGTTACTTTATCCATTTCAAATGTATGTTCATTATCTCATTACACTGATTTTTTCCCAATAATATCCCTTTTCATTACTCACGGATGTACACGCTGCATGCATGATGAAACAGACACGGCTCAATGGTCTGGTTTTTTTCCATCCAGATGGTTGCTTGTTTTTTTCCACTGTATTCTAATACACGCGAGTCACACAGTGAGGTGAGCCGCACAGGCTGTGGGCTAGTCTGTTTCCTGTGTTTATTCACAGCACAAACCTCTGGGCGTTTGTTTAAGAGGGATGCTGTGAAAGCTACAGAGACGCCGTGAAATAAAATCTAATGTGGGATAAACTTAGATAAATTGGATTTTAAGGTCCCATCACTCAAAGTGTTTGGTGTCCTTTTTCTGTCACAGGAACCAATTTCTGTTAAGCTTTAGCTGTCTGACACATGGCCTCACGTTTGTCTCTTGAACATTTGGGTAACAGAGGAGTGCATAGTCGTCTCAAAGACTGCAAGGCGCCTGGTCCCGCAGCTTTAAAAAAAGAAAAAAGAAGCACAGATCATCACCCCTCCACCACCGTGCTTCACAGCTGGTAAGAGGTGTTTGTGCTCACATGCTGTGGTTGGTTTGCTCAAAATGTGGAGCTGTGTATTATGGCCAAACATCACCACTTTGGTCTCGCCTGTAAAGGACATTGTCCCAGAAGTCTTGTGGTTTGTTCGGGTGCAGCTTTGCAAACTGAAGCTGTGCTGCCATGTTGTTTATAGTGAGACGAAGCTTTCTGCTGGAAACCCTTCCAGACAAACTATACTTGTTCAGTCTTTTTCTAAGCTTACTTTCATGAATTTTAACATTGTTTTTTTCTCTGAGCATTGTACAGTCTGACCCTGGGGTAGATTTGCTGTGGTCTCCATTCACCTAAATGTTTTGCACTTGTGAAAACATTCAGGGGGGATGACAGACTTCAAATTGTTTGTAATGCTCACAAGGAGGCCATCTGATTGTTGGACTTTTCTCTGTTTTCTCTGTATTATTGTCCTTACCTTATAAAATAAAGCACCTTGAGGCAACTGTTGTTGTGATTTGGTGCTATATCAATGAAATTGAATTGGAGTGATCTTATAACTCTTTCCAGGGCAGCAACAAGTGATTTTATAAGTTCATTGCTGATGCTTTTTGTCCTCGGCATTGTATTACCTTGTACCTGAATGCTCCAGATCTGCAAACTATCAAAACATGTGCTTTAATAGTGGTGCTTATACCAGCTGATGACCAATTAATCAGGGCATTTTAATGAGAACTCCTTGCTGCTACTTACCTTGTTAATTCCTGTGGAAGCAGTAAATGTGTACTTTGCTTTTCCACACACTGCGTCTACATTTTTGTTTAATGTTTGCTGATAAATAAATGTTTTTGGATTACCTGAGGTTGATTTTTTTGTTAGTTTTAGCCTCATTTTAGGGGCTTTAAGGGACCAGTTGATTTTTTAGTAACATCCTGACACACAAAACCTCAGAAATGAAAGGAAGCTTCACTTTCTTTTTACTGTGACTTTATATTTATTTCAAATTGAACACTATGGGGATCTATACAAAAGGCTTTTGGACAGTTTCTCACCTGTTCTCACCAGTAACCCAACACGGAGCAGTAAACGTGAACTGAGAACTTGCCATATCGATCAAGTCGTCAAGGCTAAAATAAGCAGCTACAGTAACGTTTTTCTTCCAGCAAAGAACAAATGTACCATTAATCATTTTCACAGTGCAAACTCGTTCCTCCGCGTTCAGGTGAACAAACGAGACATCTGAAACTTTGGTTCGCTTGGAGTTCACCGACCTCCACCTTCTTTATGCGTTAAGCCACTCAGATTTGTAGTGCAGGCGTACAATCAGTCGGCGAGGCTGCTGCCTCTTTCTGCCTCCTCTCTCCAGCCGAATATAGTCCACAACGGGCTGCGGTATATTCAGAGGCATTTCCAGAAAAAAGGAAGAGGCGTGGCTCAGTCGTGGCATCGCTGATTCATCAAATTAAAGTCACACAAGAGTATAAATACACTACACTGATAGTCTTTTATACATGTGCAGCTAGAGAAACGGAACTGGCCACTGGAGTATAACTGTACACATCAGGAAAGGCCAAAGGTGGAGTAAAGCTTAAGTGTCGGTAGCAGCTGCAAAGACAGCAGGATGACTAGAGTTACACGCATGCACACAGAAAGATGAAGTGGCAGGATGCTTCTTGTGCTTCTACACCTGTTGGGAACATCAACAAAGTGCCCCAAGTTTGAGCCTTAAACAGGCAATTGAATGTTAAAATAAGGTCTATATGAATAAGTATGTAACTGAGCAGGGGAAACATTAAAGTCCCCTAAAACTGGCCTGAGAGCAGCCATGGCAAAAAAGATCTTGTACATATGGAGTCCACTGAAGTATTACCACCTCTCACCCTAACGTGCTGCAGCCGAATCAGCAGTAGCACTGCCGGCTGCTCTTGGTGACCTCCTCAGAGGAGTGGACGGTGTTGGGAACAAATCCGCTCTTGACGCCCTCCCAGCCGTCCTGGATCTTGATGTCCCCGTTGCGCACCAGCTCAAAGATGTCCTTCGTCAGATCCACAAACGCCTGGAGGAGGAATCACGAGCAGGCTCAGCAACAGAGATTATGTTTTATTCTGATCATTAATTCTTAAAATAACTGCAAAAATGTCAATATATGCTGCTTATAGCGTATTAGGATTATGCATCTTTAAGTCTAAGAGAACCAACATTTTCATGAGGAGTTTTGCATTGAATATTTCAAATTGTTGTCACTTATTTCACCATCACTGCTTACTTTTAATAAAAGTACCTCTTTTTGTTTTAGACACCCTGCATGCAGACGGCAGAGAGAGACAGTCTTCTTCGTGCTCCTGTAGTTATTTATACCACCCATATTATTGTTGCAAAGCAGAACCTTTCCTATAATATCCCACTTTTTCAATTAAAAAAAAAAGATGAACTACATATGGAATAAAAACAAACAAAAACTACACCTTCTCCACATTGATGGCCTCCCGTGCAGAGGTCTCCACATAGCGCATCCCGTAGGCCCCCGCCAGCTTCTCCGCCTCCTGCTGAGTCACCTGACGCTGGGCTTCCAGGTCACACTTGTGGCCGACCAGCAGGAAGATGATGCTGTGCGGCTGGACGTGGCTCTGCGCCTCCTCCAGCCAGTTGTGGACGTTTTGAAAGGAGCGGCGGTTTGTGATGTCAAAGAGCAAGAGACCACCCACTGAGTTGCGGTAGTAGGCTCTGGTGATTGACCTGCACAGAAAGAGGTGTGCAGGAATGCAGACGTGAATAACTGGCAGAAGACCACACCCACAGTGGAAAAAAACAGTCCCCTACAAATGAACAAGTTGCATCTGTTTGAGTAGTTTTTGCTAAAAAAAAACAAAACTACCGTTATACAATTTGTACCGATTTTTTGTTCTTTTCTTTCTTTTGCAGATGAATACAGGTGAACCTCTATCCGTCCTTATTTCTGACACATTTGGTCACTGTCATGGCGGAAGACCCATCCATGACCCATCTTTGGTGTTTTGGCTGAGAGAAGGAGGTTCTCATCCAAGATTCTGGTCTTTAAATCAGTGACGTTGTCCTGTACCCTTAGCAGAAAAATGTTTCCACCTCTGTGCTTGATAGTGGGGATGGTATTCTTTGAATCATACTCAACATCTCTCTTCATCCAAACACGAAGGGTAACGTTGATGCCAAAGACCACCTGATCACATCACTTTCTCCTAAGCCTTCTCTCAATCATTTGTTCACCGGCAAACTTAGCACGGGCCTGTAAACGTGACTTCTAAAGCAAATTTTTGTGAGGCTGCAAAAGGTCAGTCCATCATGACACAGTTCAGCGACATGCAAACCAATTATATAACATTCATTGAATGTGTTTTTTCTGGATTTTGTATTGATATTCTGTGTCTCGACATTAAAAACTACAATAAAAATTAGAGACTGTTCATTTCTTTGTAAGTGAAAAAACTCACAAATTCAGCAGGGGATCAACTAATTATTTCCCCCATTTTTTTTTTATGTTTTCTTTTAAAAATACACTCTGATTTCCATGTTTACACAATATCAGCATGAATCAAAAAGCTGGCAGCTGGGAATGTAGGCCATACTGTTATATACAACTCTTTCCAGCTTCTTCAACATGTGATTAGCATCAGGTTGAAAAAAATCTACTTTTTAATATTTTATTTGTATTTTGTGGACTGTTTTCATTTGGCTGCAAGTTTTAATATTTTATATCATTGAATTTACATATTTAGAAGTGACCCCTTTAAAAAAAAAACATAGTCATGACTTCATGAATTGTTTTTTTTCCCCATGATTGCCAAATCATTAAAAATGTGAATTCTGAACCCAGTAAAGGATTAGACTGGAGATATTCTGGGTTTTTGGTTTGTTTGGTTTTTTTTTTGTTTGTTTGTTTTTTAATTATTATTTTTCTTTCCAAACATGCAGAGCTACCCGCTGTGGCGACCACTTTTTGAATAAGGGAGCTGCCAAAAGTAGATTCTTTTTATTTCGAGACCAGCAAAAGACCCAAACCAGCCTTAGGGAAACACAAGCTGGTGTACTGCCTGTGCCAGTCCTGAGCTGGATTAATGGGAGTGTTGCATCAGGAGGGGCAACCGGCATAAGATTTGTGCCAAATAAAACATGCGGATCCATCTGCTATGGCGACCCGTTTGGGAAATAAAGGAGCAGCTGAAAGTCTCCCCCCTCCTCCACTGTGATCCAATCCAACCAAAAGAGCACAGTTTGTGGCTTCCTTTTCCTCTCTCTGACTCTTATTAAGATATTAAAATGATCACAAATATAAACTTTAATTTTCAAATGAGGTTAAACAGCTTAATTACCCATCTGGTTGAGATAGTTTTCACCTAACAAACTTTTAGTTTAGTGTTAACAGCAGATGGACAGAGAACTCATGCATTAATGTTAATGAAGGAAAATGTCAAAACATGTCATCTTAACGTGGCCTAACTGAGCTTTAATGCCCATCTGACGGAAGCATGTGTAGTGTGTGCTTTTGAAGTATGAGGAGAGTCTTGTTTATAGTCCAAAATCTAGTTTTTGTGGACACATGAGAAAGAAATCAGGAGTCTGTCTTTACCTGAACCTCTCCTGTCCTGCCGTGTCCCAGATCTGAAGTTTGATTCTTTTCCCCGGCTCGATCTCCACAAGACGGGAGAAGAAGTCCACCCCGACGGTCGGGTCTGACACCTGTGCGAAGCGGCCCTCAGTGAACCTCCGGATCAGGCATGACTTGCCGACTGTGGAGTCTCCGATGACTATCAGACGAAACTGGTAAAGCCATATAGTCTCCATTTCGCATTGAAATAAGTTCTGCAAGACAAAAAAAAAACCCACTCACTTAGTCAGGGTCACCCACAGTAAGCCCAATACTGAGACTAAAACGAGACTCTTAAAAAGATGAAATGAGAATCCTCTCCTCACAAAACCAAATATTTTACATCATCTAATGGAAGGATTTTTGTAAATATAAAATCTAAAACATCAATTAAAATCCTGCTGTTCATGTCTTCAAATCTGGATCCTTCAAAGAGGATGGAAACAGCTGTAGATTAAACATCAGACTTTAAAGCTTCCACAAGCCCCTCCGTCTTTTTCAGAAAAAGAAGATCTGCTTAAATGAGTTTAAACAGATCAAACATTACATTTAATCCAGAGATTGTGCTGACTAGAAGGATATTTTTTGGGATTATGGCTTTCCTCTAAACATGGGAATAATAGGCTCATAGCGTCTCAGCAGTGGCCATGTGATTTACAGATGGGTGATCTAATTTGAAAGAGGGAGGGGGAGGCCACTCCTCTCCAACTCAATAAACAGTGGCGTAGTCAGCCCCCATGTGGATAGCAGAGTGGTTGTTATAGAGCAATAACACACAATGAGGCCTTGAATAAAGCCAGAATTCAGGTTTAATATAGTTGCTTAAAAATCACCATAGATAGGAAGAAGGCGTCCTGTGCTACTAATGATGCAACAAACTATATGGTTCTTTATTTAATTTTTTTTGTTTTGATCACAAGGCCCAACCCTCTTAGCTCAATGAGCATTCTCTACTTAGTTAATTATTTTTCTGGACAACAATTAAATTAAACAACTAATAAAGTGTGACCTACCTCAAGTTCAGAGCTCAGTACTTGAAAAAAAGAAACCCCATATTGATGATTATGTTTCCAAAAAAGAAGAAAAAAAATGACCCCTAATCTAGCACTGGTTCTGTTGTTGCTTACAGAAAACCCCAGGCGGTAACATACAGAGCATTAGCAGGGCCTCCGGTGCAGCATCGCTTTGTGAGCCGGTTTAAAGGGTGAAAACGGGGTGAGCGGTGTTTGGCCCGACAGGTGATCCGATCTGCTGGCTCATTACAGCGGGGCTGTTGATATTTCCGCGATGATCCGCTGATGAAATGGCAGCAGAACACAGCAGCAGCATCGCACTCACGTCTCTTCCTCGACCTCATCAGTACCATTACCGTAATGGCGCGCACAGCAGCGCAGCAGCAGATTCCCGGGGCGATGCATTCACGTGCTATACGGAAGAAAAAAATCGGTAAATAAGAAACGAACACACATGAGATTGTTTCATATCAGTACTTACTACTTACAAAAATATATTTATAATTTTTTTCCCCTAGACTTCCAGGGTGACAGCGAATGATCAGCCAGTGGAAAACAACTAAACTTATTCTATTTGCTCTTGTACTATAAGTACAATATTTTCTGGAGTATTTTCATTTTAACCTACTATGTACTTCTATAAAGAAAATGTATTTTCTTTTGTTAAACTGCATTTCAGTACACTAAAAATAAGTATATGCAGTATAACCACTATTACTCTTCTGCACATGTCCAAAAATTGCCTCTTTAACTTTGCCTCCTCTTCTCTCCAGAGCACACCTCCACCTCTCCAGCCTCGCTTCCACCCTCTTCCTACTCTCACTACAGATTACAATGTTGTCTGCAAAACATCATAGTCCACCCCCACCCTGAACCCATCTGACTTTCCCACCAGTCCACCACCACTCTCCTCATACATGACCTGCACCACCCTCACATACCTCTGTTATCCCTGACTTCATCATGAAGTACCACATTCCAACTCCTTCTGTACTTCTCATATCAACACTCACAAAACAAAAATGGCACCTGCAGTGCTCTTTCTCAGCATGGAGCACTGATCGTTCTTAGGTAAAGACTAAAGCGCATTTGCACGTTTTATTTGATCTTATTCAATGATATTGAAAACTCCATTCAGTTCAGAAGTAAAGTCCAACACATTAGCCTGAAATCAAGTTTGGATTCTTTGATTTGCATTTGGTTTTCGGGTCCATTACAATAACGGTGCTGTCTGACTTTAGCCATGATGGACACTCCGTGCAATCACGATGTAGGGCTACAGAAATGATTTAGTCATGAAAACATTTATTGCTGCTTTTTAAATAGTAAAACAATCTAATATTTGCGAACTTCAGCTTAAATCGATCATTTTTTTCTAATTGAAAACATCCAAAGACGTCATCGATCCATTTTACACAACTTTCTGACATTTAAATGACAGATATTAATTTGTTATTTGCAGAGTCGCTTTATTCGAATATTTTAAAGACATCAGATGGAATTTAAAATGAAGCTTATGTTTACGGGGAGTGTGTGAACGCACCATGAGTTTTCTGCTGAAGTTTGCAGTTTGCTCTGAAGTAAGCGAACTCACGCTGTCCTTATTTTATTTAGACTGTTGGACTCCGGTGATAGCAGACGAGTGCGACCGCTTCTCGACGATAGAAGATCACGTGATAATATTTCGGTTCGCAGCAGGACGGAAGGAAATGCCTTTACTGTAGCTGCTCTGTGGTTTTGATGTGTCTCAGCATCCTTCGGAAAGTTTTCATAATATCACCGAGCCTGCAGCCATGCAGCAGGAGCTTCTTTTCAAAGTCCTGGTCATCGGAGACTTAGGAGTAGGGAAGACGTCCATAATCAAGCGTTATGTGCATCAGATCTTCTCCCAGCACTACCGAGCCACAATTGGGGTGGACTTCGCCCTGAAGGTGTTGCAGTGGGACAGTAACACTGTGATCCGGCTACAGCTGTGGGATATTGCAGGTCTGTCAAACTTTAACGACCCACTGGTTTAAGGCTTATATATATCAGGTGATACAACGGTGTTTGTGAGTGTGTGTGTGTGTGTGTGTGTGTGTGTGTGTGTGTTGGGGTTTTTGGGAACAAGAACCATTTGTTTCACCATCAGCAGCCGTGAAAGCTGCTTCTGGAAGGAAAGGCACTTTGCAAATTCACTTGAGAGGATATTTAGAGGAGAGTTAGAACATAAATATCTTCATCTTAATCTAACTCAAGTCTTTTTGTAGTGTCATAAATAAGAGGATAGCACTTTTTTTTAATTAAGAAGTGAAAGGCAGAAGAAAAACAAAGAAAAGAAAAGCAGATTTTCCACCCAGTAAGTGTGTTTCTGTGTGTGTGTGTGTGTGTGTGTGTGTGTGTGTGTGTGTGTGTGTGTGTGTGTGTTGGATGCCTGGGTCACTCCCTGCCGTTTGGTGCCTGGTTGAGGAATGTAGATCCCATGCTCATAATATCAGGCACATGATGGCAGTTGCTGGAGACTAAACACACACACAGAGCTCCATAACTGGCACTCATAAACCATTACGTGACTTGATTTAATTTGATGGACTTGAAAGCAGTCTTTGTGTGTGCGTGTGTCTGATTGATGGTGTCTCATCCCAGGACAGGAGCGGTATGGGAACATGACTCGTGTCTATTACCGGGAGGCGGTGGGAGCACTGGTGGTGTTTGACGTGACGAGGGCCTCCACGTTCGACGCCGTGCTGAAGTGGAAGGATGACCTAGACTCCAAGGTCAGATGGCTGAACCTGCAGAAGCATAAAGCTGGGCTTTTCTGGCTTCACCGTCATTCTCTCTGTCTTTTTTTTTTTTTACCCACACGTGACTGATCGCATGGTGGTTAGTGCTGTTGCCTGAGTTCAATTCCACCATCGGGTCGGGGTCTTTCTGTGTGGAGTTTGCATGTTCTCCCTGTATTTGCGTGGGTTCTCTCTGGGTACTCCGGCTTCTGCCCACAGTCCAAAGACATGCACTTTGTGTGGATAGGTTAATTGAAAAATCTAAATTGCCCATAGGTGTGAATGTGCGAGTGAATGTGAATGCGAATGGTTGTTTGTCTCTGTGTGTTAGCCCTGCGACAGACTGGCGACCTGTCCAGGGTGTACCTCGCCTCTCGCCCTATGACAGCTGGGATAGGCTCTAGCACCCCCATGACCCTGAAAAGGATAAGCGGAAGCAAATGGATGGATGGATGGTTGGTGACTGATCGCAACTAAAGAGAGTGACAGAGTTTTTAGCCCCTCCATTCATCTGTTTTCTTAAATGTTTATGCAGTTTGGGGTCACGGAGGGGCTGGAGCCTATCCCAGCTGTCACTGGATGAAGGGCAGAGTGCACCCTGCACAGCTTGCCAGTCTATCACAGCACCCCACTGACTCAAAACCTCTGTTATTTTCTTTGCAGTATTTCAGTGTTTTTTCTCCTTCTCACAGGGATCCAGCAGCATTTCCCATAAAAGGCAAAAACCTCAGGTTGCTACATTTGCCCACGTTTTCTCCTTTTTACCCCTGCATCACTTCTAGTGTTGTTTTTGGGATCTTGCATTAGGAGCTATAGTTGCATTAGTGCAGTGAAAGTTGGAAAAAAAAGCCCAACAGATCACAATCGTGCTCTTGGTTGATATTCAGGTTGAAGGGTCCTCATTTTTATACAACAGAGGAGCGAACAAAGCAAAGCAGAGGCGACTCAGCAGATGATCTGAAAGACGATTTTGGGCAAATTTAAATCAGGTTTTTGCTTTTTTTTATGGGAGTAGTCATGCACATTTATGATCTCCTTTTGTATATGTGGAAAATTATCAGTCATTGTTCAAATGTAGATTAATGCCACGGGCTTTTGAAAAACCTTGCACTTTGATGTGCATGAAATGGCAGAAAATGAAGAAGCAGAACTTGAAAGGGAAATAAAATGTACAACTTATTTTTTGCAGACTGTTGCATGAAAAGCGCGTAAAGGGGAGCATTTTTGGACAGAGACATCATAAAAGATGTGAGAGGATTTCAGAGGGTGAACACGCACCTCTGAAAAAGCTTCCTGACACTTTAAAGCAGACAAAAACCACTCCATGATGAGAACAAGCGAAAATTAGCACTCTAGTCTCTTCAGCTCGTATAGTTGTCAGTAATACTTTGTTATTGGTTTGCTTTTGTGATAAAATGTCTTTACAGAGAGACTACAGGGCACACTGATATTTTTCTGTTTGTGTGCTTTAAGGTAAGACAGGGCCATTTAACAATTTATTTAAAAAATAATGTGATCCAGCTCAACTTTCTTCTGTCCAAAGGTGACACTGAACCATGGGAGGCCAGTTCCAGCTGTGCTCTTGGCCAACAAGTCAGACCAGCTGGTTTCCCAGCAGCCCAAACTCGACGTCTTTTGTAGGGAGAACGGCTTCGTCGGATGGTTTGAGACTTCTGCAAAGGTGTGAGAGAGGAGACCCACGTGGCTTTTGATGCAATCTCTGCAACAAGCTGTAGATTTTCTTAGACAGATCGTTGAGTACACCAAAGATTTCTGTGCAAATTGTTAAAGGTTAGAGGTCTTTCTTTGACTAGCCAAATGATAACTCTGTGCCATACAAGCAAGGCCCAAAATCGGGTTATATTTGCATATTTGGGGGGAAACTGGAGCAGTGTTATTTCAACAGAAGCTTCCTGTAAAAACAAACGATTCAAAAAATGTTTCACTCAAAGTCAAACAAGTTTATTTGCCGTCCTCTTGGGAGGCAAACAGAGGAATTCCAGCACTCTGGTGTGAACTAGACTCTTCTTTTTCTTCTCATTTAATGCCTTTCCAATGAGTTACACACAAGAGTGTGAGGTAAAGGCTGCGATGTAGTTACTGTACAAGGTTCATGTACATAAAGAGTGACTGACATGTGGGCAGTTTGAAAGAGAGCTGTAGATGTGTGACAAATGAAAGGAAAAGCCTGGACCGTTAAAGCCCTCAGTGAGGGGCTCTGATACAAAGTTATGCTGTGGGGGGCGTTTGGGTCCACAAATCAACACAACGCTGTCCTGATTGCCTTCATCCTACAATGAAACATGCTGCTCACACTTAGAAATCAAATAATATGACATCAGTCCCCTGCCAAGCATGCATTCCTAGTCCCAAAGAGTCTAGCTCTGCTCTAAATTAATGTGGTAATAGTAATTTTTTTTCTTGGCTAAATCACTATAGTAACCTATGGAGAATGCTTAACCTGACCAGGAGCAACTTATGTGCAGCGTTTCAGTTTAAAATCAGCTGAAAGCGTCACATTTTCACTGATTCCAGTGCGCTTTAGGCGTTGTACAGATTCTGGGCTGAAGGAAAAAGGTTTATAAGTTGTACCTTACACCACTAAATGAGGCCCAGCTGTAAAGTCGAGTCGCATTCTCACAGGATTTTGCTGGCATTCAGTCGGTGATGCAGAAAATGAATGTTTACGCTCGGGCGTAGATGTGCCGCTATGTCTGATTTAAACTGCTGCGATGGCAGCTACTAGAACCCAAAATAGTAAACATTTATATTTGTTGGCTATTTATTTCTGAGAATACCTGTTAAACCAATACAATTAATTGACTGCATCACTCTGAATAACCGCTGGTGTTTCAGAGCTTTAATGTGCTGCCGTCACATTAGAAGTGAACGGCAGCACAGAGCAGTAATATAAATATAATAGAGTGAGATATTTTACCCCTTTGTGCGCTTTTGATGCTGGTAAATTCACAACATAAAGATAACCTTATTTGCAGCAATGTTGCATTTTATTGCTATATTCTCTATAATTTTTAGAGATCACCTGTTCCTCTGATAACGTCTCTGATTGGAGGAGGCAGTGCTGAATTGCTTCACTGGAATAGGCTCTCTTACAGTATGTGAGTGTGCACAGAGGCTGAAGCAGAAAAACTGGGTTAACAGAGAAGGCGGGTAACCACTGCCATAATACTCGTTATCTCTGACTGGGAAAAGCCTGGATATGTTGAACTTTATTCACCGTAAACCTCTCAAAAAAATCTTTGGAGAACAACAAAATCAGATTGCTAAGAGAAGTAGCGATCCAGCTGTCATCAATCCAGCTGCCTACTCTAAGGTTGACCTAGATGTGTCAGACGGCCGCCCCTCCCTGAGCCTGGTTCTGCTGGAGGTTTCTTCCTGTTAAAGGGAGTTTTTCCTTCCCACTGTCGCCAAAGTGCTTGCATCTGGTTGTTGGGGTTTTCTCTATATTATTGTAGGGTCTTGACCTTACAATACAAAACACCTGCAAGCAACTGTTGTTGTGATTTAGTGCTATATAAATAAAACTGAATTGAATGTGTTGTCACTATATGAAAAGTAAGGAAAATTACAGCTTCTATAGGACTCATTCTGAGTTTAATATGAATGTGCGTCCATGGCAATCAATTTAGCTTCTCTTGAGATATTAAAATCTGTGTGTGTCTGCTGCACCGGTGTGGCTGTAAAGATTTCATCACAGCTGTCTTCCTTTTTCTATTTTTTTTCTCACTCAGGAAAACACAAACATTGAGGAGGCAGCTCGCTGCTTGGTAGAGCACATTCTGAGAAACGAGGAGAGTCTAGTGACAGAGCGAGAACCTGGTTCGCTCATCCTGTCCGGATGCGCCACGACATCAAAGCAGCAGCATCTTGGCTGCTCCTCGTGTTCAAAATGGTAATGTCTGACATCAATAGGCGACCAAGACGGGAAGGCCACGAGAAATGTTTGACTCAGGGACCGCTTTAAGAAAAATTCTGGCTCAGAGTGATAGATTTGATTTTAAAAACATCTTAAAAGTGTTTAAAGTCTTTGAAGTTCTGTGGGTATCAAAATGTGATTTTTATTACTTTATTTCTTTATCCATTTTTTTTGTCCCTCCACACAAACTTTAACAATCTTAGAAATCAAAACACTAAAAAAAAGAAAGAAAAGTTGGTACATGCAGTTTTTATTATTGGTACTTTCTCGCTTCTTTAACTTGCTTTGAATCGACAGTGTGACACTGATATTTGAACTGACGGCTCTCTGTGGCACTTTCGTTCTGACGCTGATGTAACATGAAAAATAATTCCAAACTTTGATTTTTTTTTTGCCTGCAGTGTGAACACAGACACGGAAACATGAATCTTCCTTGCGTTATTTGCACTTTTCCTCGGCCTACGTTTCTATCTGTGTTTAACCGCTCACTAAAAATGTCAACGTCATGAATTCTGCATTGTGAGCTTGAGATACATAAAAGCAGCTGCTCAGCTTTGGATAACATATAGACTGGGAATTGGGAAAACAGCCTGACTCAGGGAGGGGCTTCATACTGTTCAACTCTGCTGCTTGAAGCACTAATACTGACCTCAACTCAGCTGGGACGAGAAGTCATATACAGTCTCTTTGCGTATGACTCGGTAGCATTAGCAGTTTATAGCAAGCACACTGTGTTGGCTATGTTTTTTTAATAGGATTTTCAAGAACCTACATCACTCTCTTTTGTATATGGATTTGAGTGAACATTTAATATTGGGTGGGCCACATGTGAGCGCCACACTCTTGGCTTCAGAAATAACTGCTGTATGGGAGTGAAATCTATTTGCAACAGCTATCGCCACCTAGTGGCTTCAGATAGAAGGCAGGTTTAAGATACTTTCCTACTGACTTAATTTTTCCAACCCCAAAATTAGCTCAATGTTTTATATTGCCTATGGGGGCATTTGGTCTAATATCCACTGCCAAGCCAATGGATGTGGTGCATCAACAGTGCCTCTATGATAAGGCCCAGATATTTGAGGAGATAAGCCCAGAGCAGAGGTGGGCAATTAATTTCCCCACAGGAATCACATGAGAAGCTGGAACCGCTATGGAGGGCCACACCAATCAGCTTGTTGAGATATGAAATTAATACTGAGCAGAATTCAGCTCATCTTATTGGTGTGGGTGCAGTTTATCATGTGGCCCCTGTGGGAAAATTAATTGCCCACTGGTGGCCTAGAGGAATAATAATAATAATAACAATCATAACAAAGAATTTAGCCAACAATAACACTAAGTGGGATTTTTTTGCTTTGCACCAATCTCGTTGAATATATTTTCCTTCTACACTGCATCGTGAGCTGATGAAGTGGAAAATCTGTTCTGGCACAGTGCTGAGGAAACTAAACAAGAATCCTTTGCAGTCAGGGACAAACAGAGAAGTATCGGGGACCCTGGAGGGGAGACAGTTTAGCAGATATGGCCACTAAAAACACCATTCAATTAGCTGATAAGATACTAAAGACTGTTTCTGAATTCATTAATTAGAAACAGCTGTAAGAATAAAACAATTAAGACATCTGCAGGTCCTCCAGTGCTCTGCCTCTTCCTGATATACTGACGGCTATTCAGTCGGCTGCTAATTTACATGTGTTGTCTGTATTTTAAATGTGGTTTCAGTGAAGAATCTCATTTTTGAAGTATTTCACTCTTAACTTTCACCACAAACTCTTGGCTCTGTTGTTCAAATGGGACATTTTCTTCAGCTTTAAAATCAACTTCTTGTCAGTCCAATAAAAAAAATGTGGTATGTGCTACTCTTCTTCTGCACAGCCGCTTTTGTTGAGCTTGTCTTGTGTGTTATTTGAAGGTCTATGTTTTCAAATTAGGCATCTGTTTTATATTTTTCTTCACTGCCTTTGATGTGCAATAGCACTTAAGCCCTTAAGAATAGAGGCATTTGTCTGCACCCTCTGTGGACCAGACTATGTGTATATAGACATGTACTTCTGCATATGTTTTAAATGATGATCATTCAGGATTTTTGCCTCAACTACATGTGACTTAAATCAACACTCCTTCAAATGAACAATAATACTGAAAGAATTATCCAATTAATCTGTAGCTATTCATATAATGCATTTAGCTTTACTTTAAAGCAAAGTTTCTCTTCCTACAGCTGCATGCTTCTGAGGATTTACAGTTGTTCTCTTGATATCATTCTGAAATGAATAATCTTTAGGTTCTAGTTTGTTGGCAGGGAAAATTTGAGGTTGTTACTTTGCATTTTAAGGAAATGTTGATCAATATGTTTCACTATTTTAGGCATTTTTTATACCAAGGTAAATAACTGAGCAGCAGATTAACTTTAAGATTGTGTATTTGTTGTACGGCTGTAGTCAAACGTTTACATTCAGCAATCATGGGCATGAATGTCATGGTAATTTGGGACTTTTAATGATTTCTTTGACCTGTTCTGTCCATGGTACAATGATTATGCAAGCATCCTTTACCAGACACTTTTGGTAGCCGTCAACGAGCTTCTGGCATAATTCTGGCGAGATATTTGACCACTCTTCTTGACAGAATTTGCAGACCTCATTTAAATTGCTTGTTTTCCTGGCACAGGACTGGTCCATAGATTTTCTATTGGTGTGAGGTCGGGGCTTTGGGAAAGTCATTCAAGAAGGGATCATTGTCCTCAATTTGAAGCTGATCATTGTGATCATGTTGGAAAATTCGGAGGTAGCTCCCCTTCTCCATTAAACCATCCACTTTGCGCAGTGTACCTGTACCACTGGCAGCTAAGCAGCCCCAGAGAATTATGCTACCACCACCAGCTTGACAGCTGGTGGATTGTTCTTAGGTTTGAAATCCTCACCTCCTTTACTCCTCCAAACATACCTCTTTGTCATTGTGACCAAATAGCTCAACCTTGGTCTCCTCTGACCATCAAACTTTTTTCCAGAGGATGTTTGATTTGTCCATGTGAGCAGCTGAAAATTCAAATAGAGCTTGAAGGTGTAATTTTGGAGCAGGCACTTGCCTTGCTTGGTGCCTTCTCAGTCCAGTGATGTAAAACACACTTCACTGTGGACTGCGGCACTGCTGTTCCACAGGTTTCCAGCTCACAGGAAGCTTGCTAGTTCCTGGTTGAGGGTGACAGTTTGTGTCTTCTTCCAGATCCTGGCAAAGTGGAGATGGTGACACATAAAAACAACTTTTACTTATGTACAGTAGTTTGAACCAATGATTTTTGAATCCACAGAAATTAAAATAAATTGACAAAACAGGGACAGAGGTTCCTGCAGGGTTTAAATTTTAGCAGTGTGAATATTTTGTGGTCCAGAGAATATCTTCTAAAGCTTTCTGGATAACACAAGGAAATATGTTTTAAGCTATTTAAGTAATATCCTCCTGTGAGTTATTTTACCATTATGAGAAGACTGTTTCATTCCAGGAACTACATTTCACTGTAACGGTGAAAAGATATTAAAGCAAAAACGATTACTTAAAGCTCCCTCATAGTATTAAGTTAAAAACTGGAGGTGGAATATTGGTGGGGAATTATTTACAATAAACGTCACCATCTGGTTTTCCTGGGATTTAAAAGCACAAACTAAAACACACGGGGTCAGAGGCACCTTTTCATAGGAGGTGTTACAGGAATAAAACATCTTTTTGTGTGTTGTTATTATTAGTGGTTTTTCCTCACTATGTGTCTACATTTCATTGGACAGCAGATAATCAGCGCGAGTTTGCACATCACACTATTGTGCTGTCCGTATGCACTAAGGTGATAAACCAGCTGATGCTTTTCTCTCCTTGAAAAGCCTTCTGCTTTAAGATGCCCTCCCCGGACTCGAGAAGTGGTCCAATCGCCCTCGTTTCTCAGTCACCTGATTCATGTGCTGCCATTTTACACACAAGTTTGACTGACAAAATAAATAAATAAATCAGAATTGGCCTATCGGAAACCTCAGCAGAGAAATACACCCTTTTGTAAAGAAGATTAAAAAGACTGGGGATAAAAATCACAGCGGCTGAGGTTTCATGCAGCCAGCGCGGGGTGCTGTGTGCGAATCAGAGAGGCGCTTGCAGTCGGATCTGTGCACACGTTCAGAGGCGATACCGGGTGAAGAAGAAGGAAAAGGGGAGGGAAAGGACAATGCTACAGCCAGTGTCTTTGAAAAATTAGTCTTCAGTCATGGTGATGCGGCATAGATTTCATAATCATCGCCGGCCGTCTTTCTATCACTGACATTGCTTTTTTGTGATTCGGCGCTCTGGCACGGACTCTGCGCCGGCATTTCACCCTCAGCAGCGTCTATTTCAGGGATACTGTAGATTATATTAATACACTGACCAGCTTTGGATGCAGGCCGCTCTGACAGGCTACACCGATTTTCTTCTTTTTTACAAGCAGGTTGATTATTTCTGCAGCTGGGCCACCCTGTTGCCCTGCGCTGGATTTTTGGATGCTTCTCTGGATGTGTGACCGTTTAACGCTTTATTTGGCCGCCGCATGAATTCTCCCACCGGATCCTGGTCCGTGTACGCTGCTGTCCTCCACCACCACCTCCTCCTCCTCTTCTCCCTCCTCTGGCCGATTCTCACAGAGGGCACTACCCTCCTCCTCCTCCTCTTCCCTGCCGCTAAAGACATTTTGATCGTCCTCCCCGGTTCCCCCCACCCGGACTCGACCATCACTCCTCCGCCTGCCTCCTCCTCCTCCTCCACCACCACCACCACCACCGCCGCCGCCGCCGCCTCCTCCTCCGTAACATGTCGGGACAGTCTTTGACCGACCGGATCGCCGCCGCACAGCACAGCATGACCGGGTCTGCCATCAGCAAAGCCGTCTGCAAGGCCACGACGCACGAAGTCAGCGGACCCAAGAAGAAACACCTTGACTGTAGGTTAAGCATACCATCACTGCTTACTGTATAGATAGGCAGCCTGCCTGCATGCATGCATCAAGCGACCAGCATCTTTTTCCTCACAAAGGGTAGCTTGTATAAACAGCATTACGCTCCCCCCCTCCCACCACCTCTCTCTCTCTCATCCGGCCCGCTTATGTTCACAGCTTCTTTAATTAGGCACCGTTACATTCCATTAGATTAAAACGTGATTTACGCAGCAGCCGAGCGCACACAGGCTCCACCACTGACCATCAGAGCAAGCGGAGATCTTCTTCGTCTCTCTTTTTTTTAATATAAGGCGAGAGGGGGGCAAGCCAGGCATTATCTGTGCATGTCATTCAGGGGAAATAGGCCACTCTGGTATAAGCTAATCATATTGCAACCAGTGTAGGCCTATCCATTATTAATGCCACTATCAGGAGCAGCAGCAGCACTATGTCCCTTGGAGACTCTTCAGTACAGAATGTGCGTTATTGTGCAACATTTTTCTGCCATGCATTCTCGCTGATAAACGCGCTGCTGGTCAGTCCTAAAGGTGCTGAGGACCCTGTCAAGGTTTTAGGAAGAGCAGTGCACTTTTTCCACTCCCCAGCTAATTGTCTATGCAATCAGTAGCAATGATGCACACAGTGATAAAGAGGATTTCTCACATGTGGATTGCATCAGTGATTATTAGGTGGCTGTTAGGTTAGGTGGCTTTTCTGCCTCACTATAATTACTTGACATGATCAATAGAGAGCATGGGTGATCAATGGCACTGCCAGTCACACTCACATGCAGGCAGACAGACAGCAAGACAGCGAATCTGGAGGAAATGTGGATAAATCAGTCAGAGAGAGACCATGAGGCAAGTGGCCAAACAGCCAGTCATCCAGCTACACACCCACCCACCCAGTCAGTCGGTCGCCCGGCAAGTTTGGCAGTGGATTGGTCAGTCATGTCCACAGCAGAGGGTACCATTGTGGATTTTGGGCTCCCTTACAAGATATGCCACCAGGCATTTCAGTGTAATATATCTAAAGAGGGCTGCCTCACTAAAAAAAAAGAAAAAAGAAGAAGAAGCAGGAAACACCCAGTGGGGGCTCAGAAGCAGGTTTCTCTGAGCATTTACGATGAAGGAGCCCTTTTGTGACTCTAGAGCAGGGGTGGGCAACTCCAAGCCTCGAGGGCCGGTGTCCTGCAGGTTTTAGATCTCACCTTGGGTCAACACACCTGAATCACATGATTAGTTCGTTACCAGGCCTCTGGAGAACTTCAAGACATGTTGAGGAGCTAATTTAGCCATTTAAATCAGCTGTGTTGGTTCAAGGACACATCTAAAACCTGCAGGGACACCGGCCCTCGAGGCCTGGAGTTGCCCACCCCTGCTCTAGAGTAATTCCTGCTGCTTTGATTTCATATTAATCTTACCTCGATGGTGGCAGGCGCTCAGTGTTAATTATTAAGTTTTTTAGAGGCTGATGTTTTACGCTATACACAGTTTCACACATCCTTGGAAAAATAAGTAGAAGAGAATCAAACCTACTGATGGCTCCACGTTCAGTATCGCCGCAAGTGCATCAACAGACTAGCACCGGTGCTCGTTTGTTATTGTGCTCGCCACAGACGCCCCAGTTTTATGAGAACATTGGACTCCTGCAGATATTAAACGACAGAAGGTCATCCACCTTCAGCGCCTGCCACGAGTGGGTGTATCTCAGAAACTAGTAAATGTCACTTAACTCAAGGGTGAGAGCAGAAAATCTTAAAATAGAACCGGAGCATTTACATGACAAATGTCCATCTGTCAAGTGGATTATAAAACAGTTTTTGTCACGACTCACAAGGGCAGAGAAGTTTCTCTCAGAGTCGGTCAGTTTATTCTGGTGAAGGTGGTTTATTCTCCTTTTCCACATTGATACGACTCCTTTGTAGATTTGATTCACTCCCATGGAAGTGTGAATCACATTTTTTAGTTAAATAAGCAATTTTGTACTGAAGCCATTCAGATGCAGCTGTTCTAATAGATGCCGCAATAAAATACTTTCTATTTCCAGCTAGAGAGCCTCTCTTCTAAGCCAACATCCAGCACTCTCTCTCATCCGCATTAGGGCACACTTTTAAGGTTAAGGAGGCGCTCCAGGAAGGAAGTGTGTTTGTCATCAGGCGGTCAGTGGGCCTGAGCCTTAATTTGACTGAGAGGACCTTGGTGGGGAAGTGAATAAAGAATGCAAAGAAAAGGCAGTGAACACAACTGCTCTCAAGGAGCTTCTGATGAGTCAGCTGTACAGGACTGCGTGCAATCACAGGTCTCTTTGTTCGGCCATCAATGCATCTGAGACTCTTTTCTAACCGAACCTGCGTGGTAAACTCAGGTTATGAGAAAACGGCGGACATTTGGTTTGTATTTTCAGATAATGCAAAGCTTATTATAAAAGCTCTCTGCATGGAGGACACGAGCGAGTGGAGCAAACTCGGTGTGGCTAAAAGAATACAGAGCTGCCGGGAAGAAACTGTTCAGATTGGAAAGAAAGAATCTGTTAAAATAATCTGAGGTTAGTTTGATAAGCAGAGTTAAAATACACTCTAGTTGTTATTGAGCCACCACAGCAGGCACAGCATAGAGTAAATGCTACGCACAATAAATCTATTCAGAGTGACCAAACCCAGGCCTCCTTTTTTTCCCCCCCCTCTTACGGGGTCATGACCTTGCCGCTGTGGTAGGTGACTTCAGTGGCAAATGTTCATCTTTGATGACCCACAGCAAATAATGAGCATGACACACACACAAACACAGGGTAATGACATAGTAGAAGAGTAATCAGGCTAAAAATTACCTTCTGCCCCCAGAGCACAGTCAGCAGTGGTATTCACTGTATGATTTCTTTGCTTGTGCGTCACTGCTGAAATGCTGTAGCGTCACGTTGTAGATTTATTCAAAAAGAAGCTAATTGTGTCGAGAATAATTATCTGCCTTTTTTGCTCCGATGTTCTTCGCTTTTGGCCTCTCGGCTGGATTCAGTGAAAGGCAGCAGCGAGAAAGAGGAAGAAGTGACGACAGATGAGCAAAAATACAACGAATGACGGGGCTCAGCCGCACAGGCGGTCAAACAGAAGAGTAATATACACGAATCCCCCCTCCTCGCCACGCACACACATGCTTACTCTGACATCTTGTAGTTCAATTACACGCTCTGAATGATATTCACTTTTTTTTTTCTTTTTTAACGCCAAGGCCTTAAAACACATGGGAGGGGAAAAAAAGTTTTTATTGCATTTTAAAGTAAATCTCTTTATGAGCTCAAATCCCTTCAGTCATGCATACTTTAAAACTCTGCTCTTACATTTGATCCTAACCAGTATTACAGGTGTCTTAAATTTAGCGCCGTGTTGTCGTGTAATCGTGCAAACCTTTGCACGCTTGCAGCATAAATCTCACTTCTTTTTGTGTTCTTTATCTGCATTTTTTTCCTGTGTGGATTTCGGCTTATCGATAATCCCAGCTGGCAATCGTGCAATCAATACTTCATCATCATCATTGTCATCATCATCACATCCCTCTGGCTATTTGCACAGCCACACATCGATGGTTAAATCCCAGCTGATGAATTGTCACCCAAAGGAACAAATAGATTGGGACATGGAAATGTAGTAATTACCCTACTAAAAGTTAAATATCTCTAAACCTCCAGTGAATTAGTTACTGGTTACTCACAGGCAGTGTAAAACTGAACACTTTTTGACCTTGTCTGCTGTTTAGTTACAGCTTGATATAGATGTTTGGGTTTTTTTTATATTTATTTATTTCTGAATTTCCTAGGATCATCCTTCAAGCTCTGCTTTTGAGCTCAGCTACCTCTAAATATGAGGCAAATATGTGGTTATTTTTCCACTCTGTTGCCTCATCTTACATCGTTTTTATTCAAGTGTCACATAAAACTACTAGAAGCTCTAGTCCTTGCAGTTTAAAAGCCCATGAACATAAAAGCAAACATACAGGGTTTCAGAGAAATGGTCCTAATTTAGACATGGAATGCAAGAGGCACACATTAAGGATTTTAAAGGAGGAATTGAGGATTTTATTGTTGCGTATATATACATATATCTATTCAATATGCGTTAGTTTGGGAATTGTTTCTTGTGCCAATTTTATTGCTTCCTGTGCATGTTACATTTTCTGCTTTCAGATGTAGGGAGTGGACAGACCTTTGGCTTATATTTGGCCCTAAAGCAGGAGACCAAATGTCATGACATTAATGCAGCAGAGTTGAGAGTCTGACAGTCTTGGCTGCGTTCGTAATTCATTGTAGGCCAAGCTGGATGAGGTGACAACCTATAATCAATACTTTTACACTTATTATTGGCTGTGCTGTTCCTGCTGAGGCTTTCGCAGTCGAAACTAAAATAAAATAAGACCAAGCTGAGTTGGATCGAAGCATCAGCTGCCGCTGGTCGCTGTTGCTTAGGGTGTGTTTCGACATGCAGTCAATGGTTAATCAGGGTGCGAACCGGGACTCTTTGGTATCCAGCGTTTCAGTGGCTGCAGAAAACCTCATCAAGCTTTCA